GCCCACCAGGTGGATGGAACCAAGGCAGCTCCCAGACAGGCGCTGCCCAACAAGAGCAGTGAGCCGCCCCGGCGAGCCCGCCGCTGACTCAGGATCAGCTGGCGGGGCGGATGCGGCTGGGGCCGCGGCGGCGGGGGAGGAGAGGCAATCGAGACTGTTCGGCTGAAATAGGCTGGAAATGCGAGCAACCATGTGCTGCAGTTTGAGGGGATCTGAGCCATAAGCTACTCACATACCGGTGTGGCAAGGTGTGCTCACCAACCATGCGCAGAGTATCCTCGTATGCATGTTGAGACTTGCGTTTACGCCCGCAAAGCCATTTCGTGCCGCTTGCATCAGCGCAGATTGGTTGGCATTTCCCCTGTGGGAGTGTGGTGGGGAAAGGGCACATTGAGCATTAGTGTACCATATGTCCATTTGACCACGTTGCCCAGCAAGTGGCAGATGGCATGAGGGATTATAGCAACAAAGAGGGGTCAATAGAAGGCATGTGGTACACATAAGTGAACTGTGCCACTTGCCAATGTGGCTACGGAATTAGCACTGCCTGTTTGAAGCACGACAACGAACCCAGCAAGCAGCGACGGGCTGGTGTAGGTCGCTTCTTGGGTTTGGGTGCACCAGGCCGAGACGTGCTGACCTGGCATCCCGGCGAAAATACGAGATCAGTGGTCATGATCGGGCTGTTGCCTTCAGGCTCAACTGAAACGGTGCTGGAGGGTTCGGTCAAGGTGCGTTGGCGCTGCGCACGGGTGTTCTCACTTCGTTCCTCATCGTCAGCACCATCAGAACCCTCTCCCCCACCGTTCCTCTCAGGCTCCCCAACATCAGCTGCACCTTGTGCCAACCACTCTCGCATAATGTTGTCCACCCAGGACCAGTCCATGGGTCCTAATATCCTCTCCTTTCGGCCCCTCTGCACACGCGTCAATTTCCGCACCTGGATGCAGTATGCCTTGACGAGCCGGTCCATGCAGCTGTTCCGATGCAGCACGGCCAAGGCTATGCGAGCCTCCATGCTGCCTCTGAACCGCAGTCGCTTGGGTGCATACTTGCATACTAGTGAGTGGAAAGACTCGTTCAGTGAGCTGTTTGCGCCAAGAATCAACGATGCCACCTGATCTGGCCCCAGCCGTGTTTTGAACCATTCACAAACAGCCAAGTGGGTTGGTGATCCAAAAGCGTATACAGCACTCTCTTCCCCCCACCCTTTTGAAATACAGTGTGGCGGCGTTGTTCCCACACGTCGGTAGCTAGTATGGTCACCTGCCCAGTGATCTGCAGCAAGCCCCAACTTCTCGGACACCTGCGCCGGCGTCATTGGGTGTCCCTCGCTGGCCTTGGTGGCATTCCGCATCATGCAGTGCTTGAAATGCACACTAAAGCGTTGACCAACGGTGAACACCGGCTTTTTGCTTCCATCGCTCTCTCCAGCAAGGGTCGCATTGGTAGCTTCCCCACATGCACGCTTCTTTGAGCTGCGTTTTGACCACCGTCGCTGCTCCTTGCTCTTGATGGTGGAGATGCCAGCTTGCTCTCCTGCAAGTCCCCAACGTAACAGCATCAGGGCAGAAGCGGCTGATTGTGTGCTGTGTTCGTGCACACCACACTTGCCATGCGCATCAATGATGAGCTATGAACGGGCTAGAGTGGTGGAAATGAGGTGTGTGTGTGTGGCTGGAGTGGGGGTAGTGAGGGGTGTGTGGGGCAGAGTGGTGGTATTGAGGTGTGTGTGGGGAAGTAATGGGCGGTTATGAGCTGTGTGAGGGGCAGTAGTGGTGGTAATGATGTGTGTGTGGGACAGTGGTGGTGGTAATAAGGTATGTGTGGGGCAGTAGTGGTGATGATGAGCTGTGTGAGGGGCTGGAGTGGTGATGATGATCTATGAACGGGCTGGAGTGGTGGAAATGAGGTGTGTGTGTGGCTGGAGTGGTGGTAGTGAGGGGTGTGTGGGGCAGAGTGGTGGTGATGAGCTGTGTGAGGGGCTGGAGTGGTGATGATGAGGTGTGTGTGGGGCAGATTGGTGGTAATGAGGTGTGTATGGGGCAGACTGGTGGTAGTGAGCTGTGTGAGTGGCAGAAATGGTGTGACCGGCATGTTTCAGCAAATTGAGTGGGTGCAGGAGTGCTATTCGCACCTGATTGATGGGCAGTCCCAGGTAAGATATCTGCCACACGCTCCATGAAATCCGCCTCGGCGCGTGCGCCATTGCACGCAAGTGTGACCACCAATGACGCCTGAGATGATGGTCGCAACCCATGCACTGGGTGGATGTCATATTGCCATAATTCTTCCACATCCGGCCAGGAAACATCCACCGATACCGGCCCTTCTAGCAGTGCCACTGCACCCTCACCCTCTTCCAGCCCATCCTGATGACGGCCCATGCCTCGACTATGTATTAGCAAAAGCATAACAGGTACGTCCACTTTGTCTGCAGCCTCCTCATCATCCTGCTCCTCTAATTCCCCCACACCTTGACCAGCCCCTTGCGCGTTTGTTGCGCTCACAACCTGCTGCAAGTCAGGATGTTCCCATTTTGCATCTGCCGGATCCACAAACCGGTACTCGATGCCGAGCTCAGAGCAAATGTCCTCGATCAATTTGTCTTTTCCATTGGACCCACCCACCTTGCGTAGGGCCTTCTTCTGCAACCACCCTTTTAGCTTCACGACCATATGCATATGCAGGTTCTCAACAACCTTTGCCTTATCAATTTCGACCACATCCCTCACACGATTTTGCAATTCGTTTTCAAAGCTCTTGACCACAGATCGCCTTTTGTGCCACCAATCGTGCTGGTGTCCAATCCCTCTGTCCGCAGCCACAGTCTGAAACATACTACCCTCATCCGTAACAATACCAGCCACTTCAAACCCCACATTCTTGAAGAAGTCCATGCCCATATGAAGGCAACGCTTTCTAGCCTAGGAGACGACGGATCATTGACATACTTCTTCGTAGCCTCTGTGTGCAATATTTTCCTACTCTCGGGATGTAGAAATGACACAGTGCAATACTCAGCCTCACGAGCTTGTGAAAATCTACCATCTACGCTAATGTATCCCATGCCACCTTCCCTCTTAGACAGGCTATCACGCACTGATGCCATAGATTCTTGGGCTGCACGAATGATGGCCTTCCACAAACCCTTTTCACCCTGCAACATTCGGTAAAATGTTCCTCTTCCAGGATTTGGCAGTCCAAGATTGCAACACACTTCCCACATCACTTGAAACCCTACCCCTCCGAGGGCAAACGCACCCACAAACTTTTGCATAAGCTGTATAGACCTTGGCCCGATCCGCTTCCCATGTTGATCGTTTTCTTTTTTGGGGCTAGTCCATATCTCCGTGCGGCTAGGGCACATACTACAGTGCCAATAAAGACCAAGAGACGCCCACGTAGTTTTCCATGACACGAGGGACATGCTCCCACCGCAGTCTTTTCTTGTGCAACTGATCCGTAGTGGTGCTAATGCTTCCAGAATGTGCCTTGGCTCAAGGAAACATACCATGTACGGTGACATATCCGTGACGGATGGTGCACGTGGCCACCCTCTCAGGGCCGGAACTGAGGTATCCTTGGAGGCCCCATCCTGATCAGTATTCCTGGAGGTAGTTGCACATTCAAGCAACAATGAGGAGTGGACAAAAACTCATTATACCCACCACTTCAGCCATGCCCAAAACACAGCGCAAACACGAACCCAACTCAGTCCACACTCGCCCCTCTCTCAAGTCGGTCACACCACTCCAGCGCGCACAATCTCCAGTTGCAGCAAGTTTACCATACTCCAACCAAGCATGGTGGTCATTCACACCACACCACAAACCCCCAGAGGTCATTCGTATCACACCAACCACAATTACAGGTCATATACAACACACCAGCCACCACCCACACCACACCAGCCACCCACACCTTCTCACCTCCTTCTCCCATCGTTCCCTGCTCCTTCTCTCATCCTTCCCCCTTCCTTCCCCCCTCCTTTCTTCTTGCTGCTCCCTTCCTTCTCCACCCAGTCTCTCTCGCTCCCTTCCTCACGCATGGGATGTGGAGTGCGGTTTCAATACCACCCCTGGTTTTACACCTCATTTGACAGCCCCATCTACGCACTCGCACCTTTGGGCCGGATCTGGTACTCCGGCCTTATGGAGTACAGCGTGCTCTTGGCTGCTTTCGGATCTAGCAATCGTGAATGTTTCTGGCTGCAGGCTGGGTGCAACGCCCTCTGTTTCAGTTCCGGTTGACTGGGCAACCCCTGCACACACGTCATTTATAAAAAACATTAGAATATACATGCACTTGCAGTGGTGTTCGTATATGCGAACAACACATCCGTCTGTCTGACACTATGTATAACCAATCCAAGTTACTGATTCTTTCTCACCTTGTGTGCGCGCACGTTCATAGGCCTTGCCCTTTCGGGCCCCTCCCCAACCAACCCCACGGACTGGGCGTAATTTGCCCCGTTTGTCCTGTTTGTAGGCCGGGAAGTTGTAGACAAGACCCTCAATTTGGAGGTCCTCTTTCCCATTTATCCCTGTCACTGCATTAGGCCCGTTGTTCACCCGTGCGTCGAACTGTCGCCCGTATGCCTCAAGGTGCAGCTCCGCTGTTGCTACTGCTTCTCCCCCGTGTGCACCTGGACAACAAGAATGGGTTGTAGATGAGCAGAGGCAAATGTGTATGGTCTGGGCCCCATGTTATCCTCGCAACAATCAACCGTAAACCTCTAGTCCCTCCCACAATCGCTTCTCCCATGTACCTGCGGCTTTGGCTGCCCGCATCAGCCTTTTATATGCGGTTGGAGCATTCATCATGAAATAGTACAGCACATCCGATGTTGTAGCCTCGCTCTTGCCTCCCATCAGTGCCGACAATCTGCAGCGTTGAAGGCATATGACTGGGCGCATATGCTTGGATATACCGTGAGTGGCCTTGTCATGCTCGGCACTAAGCCCCGCTGCAGCTGTATCCTTTGTCTTCTTGCCAATTTAGGATGGTATGGAGTGGGGGGTGTGGCAAACAGAGGGAGGAGAGGGGAGTGGGGAGGGAGGGGAGGTGACCACACGAGGCCCCGCCAAATGCCAAGCCCCTGATAGTCTTATCGTCTGCCTGGTGGCGGGCAAAGGGAGGGAAGAGAGGTGAGTGGGGTTGGGGTATGGAGGATGACAGGGGTAGTAGTTGGAAGGGAGGATGACAGTGGTAGTAGTTGGAAGGGAGGATGACGTGGGTAGTAGGGGGAAGGGAAGATGATAGGGGTAGTAGGGGGAAGGGAGGATGACAGGGGTTATAGGGGGAAGGGAAAATGACAGGGGTAGTAGGGGGAAGGGAAGATGACAGGGGTAGTAGGGGGAAGGGAAGATGACAGGGGTAGCAAGGGGAAGGGAAGATGAGATAGTTAGTGGGGGGAAGGGAAGATGACGCGGGTAGTAGGGGGGAGGGAGGCTGACGCGGGTAGTAGGGGGAAGGGAGGCTAACGCGGGTAGTAGGGGGAAGAGAAGATGATAGGGGTAGAAGGGGGAAGGGAAGATGACAGGGGTAGTAGGGGGAAGGGAAGATGATTTGGGTAGTAGGGGGAAGGGATGATGACAGGGGTAGTAGGGGGAAGGGAGGATGACAGGGGTAGTAGGGGGGAGGGAAAATGACAGGGGTAGTAGGGGGAAGGGAAGATGACAGGGGTAGTAGGGGGAAGGGAAGATGACAGGGGTAGCAAGCTGACAGGGAAGATGAGATAGGTAGTGGGGGGAAGGGAAGATGACAGGGGTAGTAGGGGGAAGGGAGGCTGACGCGGGTAGTAGGGGGAAGGGAGGCAGACGCGAGTAGTAGGGGGAAGGGAAGATGACAGGGGTAGTAGGGGGAAGGGAGGATGACAGGGGTAGTAGGGGGAAAGGAGGATAACAGGGATAGTAGGGGGAAGGGAGGATGAAAGGGGTAGTAGGGGGAAGGGACGATAACATGAGTCACTCAACGATAGGAGAGGTGAGCGGAGGGCATGCACGGTCGGAAATTCTGTGTGGCCCTACTGGAGTGGGGAAAGCTTCACAGGGGAAGTGGGGGATTGGAGGGGGGGAAGTGGGGGTTTGGAGGGGGGGAAGTGGGGAATTGGAGGGGGGGAAGTGGGGGATTGGAGGGGGGGAAGTGGCGGATTGGAGGGGGGGAAGTGGGGGATTGGAGGGGGGGAAGTGGGGGATCGGATCGGGGATGTGGGGGATTGGATCGGGGATGTGGGGGATTGGATCGGGGATGTGGGGGATTGGACGGGGGGGAGTGGGGGATTGGACGGGGGGGAGTGGGGGATTGGACGGGTAGGAGCGGGGGAAAGGGAGGGTAGGAGTGGGGGATAGGGAGGGTAGGAGTGGGGGAAAGGGAGGGTTTTAGTGGGGGAAAGAGAGTGAGCAGGGTGGAGAAGGGGGTGAGCAAAGGGGGAAAGAGAGTGAACAGGGTGGAGAGAGTGGGCATGGGAGTGAGCCGGGAAAAGAGGAGTGAGCAGAGGGGGAAAGAGAGCGATAAGGGGGAAAATGGGGTGAAGAGAGTGAGCAGGATGTGAAGGCTACGGGAGGGGGAAGTGGAGGCGACGGGGGGGGGGGGAAGCGGAGGCGACGGGGGCGGGGGGGGGGGGGGGGGGGGGGGGGGGGGAGTAGTGGAGGTGACGGGAGGGGAAAGTGAAGTCGAAGGGACGGGAAAGTGAAGACGAAAGAAGGGGGGAAGAGGAGGCGACAGGAGGGGGAAGTGGAGGCGACAAGAGGGGGAAGCTGAGGCGACGGGAGGGGGTGCGGTGAGGCGACGGGAGGGGGAAGTGGAGGCGACGGGAGGGGGAAGTGGAGGCGACGGGAGGGGGAAGTTGAGGCGACGGGAGGGGGAAGTGAAGGCGACGGTAGGGGGAATTGGAGGCGACGGGAGGGGGAAGTGGAGGCGACGGGAGGGGGAATTGAAGGCGATGGGAGGGGGAATTGAAGGCGACGGGAGGGGGAATTGAAGGCAACGGGAGGGGAAAGCTAAGGCGACGGGAGGGGAAAGCTAAGGCGACGGGAGTGGGTGGCGTATGGATGGGGGAATCGTGGCGTTTGGAAATTCCGAACCGCGGTGTGAAGGGCTTCTTTCGAGGAGCGTGCGCCAGGCGGCGTAGACGGCGGTAGCATCACTATTTTTACATCCTTGTTACGTGACTTTCGAAACTGTGTGTCACGCAGTCACTCGTAGCATATGGCTGACATTGCATCCTCGCCGCCTGCGTGACAGTAATGTACCGTACTTATAGGCTTATACTGGCCCTAGACCATGCCATTCCGGAATTGCGTTTGCCGGAAGGTGCATACCGCTACTTTCAGAATTTTCCGTGCCCCTAATGGAGGTTGTTGGCGGCTTTTGCGTACCTTCGTGGGGCACCATTTCGTGGGTGCCGTCAGGGCTGACTATTCAAAAAAATCCAGTCTGATGTTCTGGGGGCTCTGAAAATTTTTAGTCTGAGGCATATTTCCCAGAGAATGGCCACTCTGATTTTTCAGGTTCCGCAAAAACACAAGTCTGAAGTACTCAGAACACACTACAACCACTGCAGTACAGTACTGCCACAAATGTAGCACGTGGGGCGCAACGCTAACCAGTTTCCCTCGCTGACACCGCGTAGCTGCAGTGATGGTCCCGCGTGAGTGGAAGAGTGAGCCAAGTTGGCAGATTTCTAAGGGAAAAGGGTGGCAAAAGTTGCCAAGGACAGATTCTGCGCGTGACAGCGCCATGAAGTGTGTTCGTACACTGGCAACATATGACGTAGCGGAATGTACGTAGAAATCACAGATCCGCATTTCAGGATCCGTACTCCCTGTAGTATGAAGACCCATTATCGGCTAAGTCAGTACTCTGAAAATCTCAGGATCCAAAACCAAGTAAGTCTGAGGCACTCATGTTTGAAAATCTTACAAGTCTGAAAAATCAGGATCCGTAGGAAAATACCCTGAGATTTCAGACAATCAGACTATTTTAGTCTGATAAAGTCAGCCCTGGGTGCCGTTATCTCTTGTGTGTGTGCGACAGCGCTCGAAATGCGCAAGTGTTGTGTTGTCCCTCCTTTGAGAGGCTTGTGATTTTGGGTGGCGATGTGTGGCTAGATGTGCGACGTTTTCTATTGGCTGGTTTTCTGTTGTTTGACTTGGCAGTTCGCAGCACAATTCGAGAACTCTCACACCCCTCGCAACCCGTTGAACCCCAACACAAGCTTTTAAAACATGAAAATTTTCTAAGCGTTTAACGCTTTCTCAATGAGAACGATGAGAACGATGCCAATTGCTACGGAAGCAAGCTTTCTCAATTTGTGCAATTTGGGCTGCCGGCTTTAAACCACAAACCATTGATTGGAAAAAATATGTGAACAGGTAATACAGGGTTGCATTATAATGATCACCCTAGCTGGTAAGGAATTTGTAGCAGTTTTGGAATTTTCAAAAAGCTACCCACTTATACCGTAAATCATATCACTCAATGCCTACAAAACCAAATCAGAAAGTTTTTACAGTCAGGGAAGGGAGGTGGGGCAGAGAGGGGAATGGAAGGAGAGGGAACAGGAAGGCACAGGAGGGGAACTGGCAGGAGGACAGGGAGGCGTGAAAGAGGGGACCCCTGTGAAAATCTCAGTGGCTGTCGACAGCCAAACTGCTGTCAGGCTACACTCAAGCTGCTGCCTGCAGCTGTCCAGATGCGGCGGACTGCTCTCGCAGCAACACCAGCAATTCCTTCGCCTTGTCCCCTGCCGAACCCGTCACCTCGCGGGTAACCCTATGCAACGCAGGCACAACCCCTTCGCGGCCAATCACCTTCCTCGCCTCCTCGTCGTGCCTCGCCAGCAGCAGCAGCGCGCTTACAGCTTCCTGCCTAGCTTTCTGCGAAGTTGTTAAATCTAACACATCCGCGATTACCTCCAACCCTCCGTTACCGTTCGCGGATTTCGCTTCCTTAATTGCACGCCTGCCCGTCGAGGAACAAGCGATGAACGAAACTAATGCCATCGCTCTATTTTCCAGATCCTCGTTCGATTCCTGAACCATATTCAACAGTATATTCAGCCCAGCGGAGTTTAAAAACTCCTCTAACAACTCCCGGTGATGCTCGCCGCCGCTTAGCAAAGCGAGTACTGCCAACACCGCGTCGATTTTCCCCCGCGTGCTGCCCGAAAGGAATATTTCAACCAAGGCAGGGATGGCTCCGGCTTTCCCAATTCGCAGCTTAATTTCTGCTAGCTGCTCCCGAGCCTTTAAAACAGCTGTTTCGGCGGAAGGTGTGGATGACTGTGGGGGCGTCGATTCCAGTTTACCCTGCTCCCCAGCCCCATCCGCCATAGCGTCTGCACCCCCGGCTGTAGCATCCGCTGCCCCGGCTGTAGCATCCGCTGCCCCGGCTGTGGCATCCGCAGCCCCAGCTGTTGCCCCCACCCCGGCTGTCGCGGCTGCACCCTCGCCTGCTGCAGCAGCCTCTGTTGACCCTGCTGCTTCCCCTGCTCCGGCAGTAGCGTCGCTAACCCCTGCTGCTGCTTGAAGTGCACCCTCAGGCTGGCTGGGACTGTTGCCGGCACCTGAAAAAACACCTGAGAATTCCCTTGAATCGTAGGAGGGACGCAGAAGCGCGGTAGACGCTGTAGGGGACTTTAAAGCTGGGGAAGGGGGGAGGGACGGGGTGTGCGGTGATGACCTGGCGGATACTGATGGTGACATGGACACAGCGCCAACTGACGTGGATCGGCCCCGGGTCGGGCGCGACGGCGACGGCCCCCTTGACCCCCTTCCGCCTTTCCCGCCGCCATTTCCGCTGCTACTGACAGTCTGGATGCCCCAAGCAAGGCAGAAAAGCGCAGCCGCTGCGTTTTCCCGCGCCGCTGATTTCTCCGCCCGAAGCGCCTTAACCAGAGCCTCCAGCCCGCCCTCCGCGCCGCTGACGATCGCGTCGCGCCCGCCTTCCTCACGACATACGTTGTATAGAACGGTCACCGCGTGCTCCACTGTGTCGCCGTCAGGCGACTCGGCGACGAGATTAATCAGGAACTGGACCCCGCCGGCCTGAATCAACCGCTTCTTATTCTCCGGGGTCGCCTTAATCGCCGCGCGCACCGCCTTCACCGCGTCGCGGATCGCGGTGACGTCCGCTTGACCAATCGCCGCAATTAGCGGGCCGAGACGGAGGGGCTCGACCGGGGCAGCTGGTTGAGCGGCGCGCTGTGGAGAAGGGGAGCGAGCGTACCGCCCGGAGAAGCTTCCGCTTCCGCCAGGCCCCCTGCGAGGGGGCCGGCGGCCGGGGGTGCTGCTCGCGACGGCGAGCGGGCAGAAGGCGTACATGTCGGCGTTGCTCACGGCGCTCTTCACGCCGTAGCTTTCAGGGCTGCGCTCGAGCGACGCGGAGCGCGGTCCGGAGGAGGAGAGGGGAGGATTAGCCGACGTGAAAGTGTGAGCGTGAGCGTAAATGCAGGTCGCACTTCCAATCGAGTCGTCGCGGCGCGAAAACTCATTGCGACGAGATGGTTCGAACCGCGCGGAGAGGGGTGACACGGGAACTGGCGACGCGGCGAGAGGCGACACGGGCCCGTCCACGTTACCGTTGAAACTACGCGAACGAACCTGCATGCCACTCTGATTTTCTCCCGCTGCTGGAGCCGCACCTGCTACCTTGCGCGAATCGGCGCCGCGATTCCCGCCGGCAATGACGCCGCTAGAGCCGCCGCTGCTGCTGCTCCCGCTTGTGATGTTAATCTCCGCGCTGACGTTGCGGCTACCGCTGCTGCTGCTGCTGCCACTGGCGGGGCCAGTAGTGTCCGTCGTGCTGCGTCTAACGTTGGCAGCGGGGAAAGGGCGCAAGTTCGGCGTTGTTTTAGAGAGCGGGGAGAGAGGCAAGGGGGAAGCGGAGGGGGAAGCTGAGGGGGACCGGGTGGGAGACGGGGAAGGGGACGCTGAGGGAGAGGGGGTAGGGGAGAGCGAGCCGCGACGCGACGACGCGGCGAGGGATGCGGAGAGAGGGGAGAACAACGGCGGGATGCACGACGGCGTGGTGGTAGACGGCGGCGTGCGCGAGAACGATGCGTTGTACGCGCTTCGAAGCGACGCGAGGTTCTCCTGGCTGTTGTTATGGCGGTGTGAAGCGAACGACGTTTTTAGCGGCGGCAGACGCGACGCGAACACGGACAGCGTGCACGCGACCTGGCCCGTGGGGGAAAGCGGTTCGTCGTCGTCGTCCGCTTTTGGCGGGGGAGGAGCCGCGGAAGATGCGGAGGCTTTAATCATCGAAAGCATGATGCCGACGGGGCCGGAAAACGGCGCGCGACGGCGGAAAGGCGACGCGCTTCTCGCGCGGGAGGAGCGACTTTTCGATTCGACGGCGCTGCTGCTCCGACTTTCCGCCCGCCCAGTCCGCGCCGCAGATGCTGCCGCCGATTGTGCCGCGGATCGCGATTCAGACGAGGAATTCGATCGACGCAGGACTCTCGACGGCGACGCGGAGCGCAGAACGCTCGACCACGAACGTCCTTCTCTCCGTGAGGACGATTCGTCGCGAGAACGACTCGTCGTCGCCCATTCCGCGTCCTGACCGCCGTCGCTAGCCGCATCGTCTTCGTCGCAGTCGTCATTCGTCGCATCTTCGAAAATGTCGTCGCGAGGAACCATTGGCGCGCTGTGCAGGGCTCGGCTTCCGCACGGCAGTGTTCGGCTGCGACGAGACTCCGGCTGCGGCGTCGGCGATGTAACAGTTACCGCATCGGTACTCAACGACACCGTTTCGCGAAACGACGAGCTGGTTGAAAACGAGAAGTCGTTCCCTTCGGCGCGGTCCGCAGCGGTCCTTTCGCTGCCACAACGGCCCAACTCGCGCCCACTCCGTACCGCCGCGCCCCCGCCCCCGCCCGCTTCGCTCCCGCTCCCGCTCCGTTCTTCCGCTCCGCCACCGCTTCGCACTTCCACATCCCCCTCCCATTCCCGCGAATCCCGCTCCGCGTCGAGCGTCCGTACCTGAAACATGCCCCGCGATCGACCGTTGAAAGACTGCGTCGGGCGCGACCCGGGAGTCAGGGCCTTAGCTAGCGGAGGCCGCGGCGCCGGATTCTTCTGCGCATCTCGCGAACCAGTGGTTGAGTTGATTGGGGAGCGGTAAAACTCGGTGATGGCTGCAGAGGCGTTCCAGTTACGTTCGTCGAGAGATGAAGACGAGAGGGAGGGCGGGACGAAGGCAGATGCGCTCTTGGGTGAAGAGAGCGCCATGTTTTGAAAAGTCTAGAAGACTCAAAGTTAAGGGTGAAGTCTAAGGGCTCTTATTGCTTGGTCTACGGGTTTGCTCTCGGAAAGTGATAGTTCATGAGAGTGAACTCTAGCAAAGAAGGGAGGGAAGTGGTGCTCGAGAATGTTTTATTGGTGCTGATATGTCTTGACAAATTGTCACACCTCGTCTTTGTAGATAACAAACAATCAAACAACCTTCAGCTGAAATCAAACAATTGAGCTTCTGAATTATTTGTCAGTGTGGACTACGGATGGCATTTGCGTTCTTACGAGTGCCCTAATCAGGTCCAGTCGACTCGAATCGACTTGAGAGAAAATATGAGAGTGGAGGAGAGAGTGGAGGAGTGGAAGGAAAACAAGACAACTGGAATCTGTCAGTTGAAAATTGCGAGCATTGCGGCGCTGTCAACAGCTTGCTGGAAGCGCACGAACTCTAATAAGGGCGTATCCATGTTCGGGTCATGGGCTCTGTTCCGGGCATCTGCAATTTGCGGATGACCCGAACAACATAAAACGCCAGTTTGGGTCCTCCGAACTCATGCGACCCCCAAAGAGCCGCGAAAGTTTTAGCGCCAAAATCACGCTCCCCACAACAGTCGCATCCAATGGAGGGATGCCAGAACAGTTCGAAACATCCTTAGCAAGACCCACGCGAAGCCACGCGGAACCCACCGAATAAACACAATCGTCAAAATTCCCGGCGTGAATCCCCAAATGTTGGGAGCGCGACGCGGGTATTTTTTTGACCCACTCATGGTCACTAGGGTCAATTTGCCGAGTGGTTGGGTGCAGAGGTGTAAGACGTGTGACATTGCCCACTTGTGACACTCGAATGACGACCGCCAAATTCTGGCAGTAAATCCAGAATCGTGCAACCAGGTGATTGGTTGGGGGTGGGTCGTGCACGTCAGTCGCCCAACACCTGCACATTGACCCAAAGCTGGGGCCGCGCACGGCTCGGCAGCCCACTTCGGGTTATGCGCAAATTCCGCATGACCCGAACAGTAGCCAGAACAGTGCTCATGGCCCGAACAGTGGATACGCCCTAAACAACGCGGTTGACCTGTGATTGGGTTCGACAGGCTCTTCTGCTTCTCAGTTGTCGGCTGGCTGGCAGCAGCAAATGTTTCAAGGACAAGGCGGGCATGGTGGTGAGACAGAGAGGAAAATATCTTCAGTAATTTTGCTGGGTTTAGCCCCATAAGTTGAAAATTGGCCTCTTTGTGTAGTCATCCAGAACCTGGTTTTGCATGATGCTTAGGTTACAGTAAAACACTTAGGAGATTAGCTGCTGAGAAAAAGGGTGGAGGCATAGAAAGCACCCAACCTCCAGTCGAGTCTAGACAGCAACCTTCTGAAATATGTATTTACTCACATTGCAGAGCAGTTATGGAAATGCTGTACAAATGAAAATTACAGTGCGCATGCAGTATCTATGGCAGTGCTGGCTTGTCCTCCTCCACATGACAGTCAGCTCGACCAGCATGAAAGAGAACTGCTGCCTGCCCGTCCCCCCAAAGAAAGCAGAACGAACCAGGTGTCGCGAACGCGTCTGTCTTGTCAATCGCGAGGGATTTGAATGGAGGACGAAATGCTGCCGTATGGATGGCAGCTTTGGCTGCTGGTGCTGCCACAAGCAGCAATTCCCTTCGAGAAAACCGCGTGACGTCAAGGGCGGATTCTCGTCCATTGGGGACCACTTTTCCCGCATGCGACAATCACTGCAATTGGGATATCATACCGGAAGGTTGGGGTCTCATTTCAAGCCGCAGCTCACTCAAAATTAGGAGGGAAAACATGAAATCCATGAAATTCACCATACTTTATCTTCATTTATGAAATATATGAAATCTCCCATTATTGACTATCCAAACCTACGATTCACAATTCTGGTTTAAATCTACCTTATAATGTGATGATTCAGCTTCAAAACATCCAATATAATCGGAATTTCCAATTCAACTCTTATTCATAGAAATTATCATGTGTATTCATTTAATCTGTACAGATATTTTCGAGAGCCATTCCCGGAGAAAATGCACGTTAACAACTACATATATGTACATATAGAAGAAGATTTTGCTGCGTACATATGTACACCTACGACGTTATCATCCAGTTCCTTGGATGGCTCAGAAATGGTTCATCCAACTGACTTGTCATTCAGCACGAAGCGCCCGTCTGCGAGGTTCATGTTCTGCGACTTTTCCCTCTGCCCTTCCCTATTTTCGTTAGGTGAACACCAGTCTGCCGCTTCATCAGGCATCGCTGCGCTTCAGATTCATGGAGCCGCGCATCACCCTTACATGCCCGTAGTTTGCCCTCCCATACCAAATGTCATGGTATGTTCCCGTGGTTGCTGCCCGCGACACGGGAGGTACGCCTCCCAGACCACCTCAGTTCCCTCCCTGTCATTTGTGGAAAAAGGATGCCAAACCTCCTGAGTTTCGCTTGGCTTGACCGAGAAGCGCATAATTCGGGTAACACTCTCGTCCACGAGCTTTTGTTATGTTCCAGCTGCCCGCACTTCTTTCCAAACCTCTGGCCTGACCAGACTGACTGCGCGTCTCGTCCATCACCCACACCTCCCGCCCTTCACGCCCCTCTGCTCGGTTTGCCGCGCCCAGCACTCCACAGCCAAGCCCAGGATGTCTCCCCAAAGAGACTTCCTCGGTTCGGCAGCGCGGCAAGCTTGGCTGCTGCCCGTTTGCTTTCCTGCACCCTGGGCAGAGGGGGATGACGAGGAGATGACAGACCGTCATGGCAGTGTGGTGTGGGATCCAGGCCCACCCAGCCCCATCCCATCACACCTTATTCCACTCTCTGGAAATCCGTTTTAAGCCCCCCAAACCATACCCTCCTGAAGGCCCAGGTCCAGCGGTTTGCTTCGCGTTCCAAACTGTCCCCAATCGAGGCTCGTCTTGCCTCATGATGGTCAAATTCGCCTGACTGCTCTTCAAAACCTTCAGTTGCTGCAAGCTCTAGCTCATTACCATATTCTTCACGTACACACAGCATCTCGCTGTGCAGCTTCTGTAGCGTTTCTGAGAGGAGCCCTTGCTCCATTTTCTTTCACTTAACGGAATCATTCTTGTTACCTTTCGAATCACGAACGTCGCAATCGATGCGATCTAGACCAGAGCGTCTCGAAGCCATGTCGCCGTGGTCCTCGTGTGTGGCTCTACTCGGACTGCTGCTTCTCCTAGGATCCGCTTGCCACGCGCAGAAAGTCGTCAGGCTAGGATTTCTGCTGCCGTATCCCGAGGGCGACAGCGCGGTTCCAGAAAGGCTAGCCAACGAATGGTGAGAAATCTACGCCTGACGTACGAATTCATCTGACTTGAAATCACAATTCA